ATTGGAACACACCATAAAAGGAACGTATAGCCATAACTGGTACATCTATCCTATATTCTGCTCAGAATTTGTTGGCGTAGTAACTAGAAATACTCAGAGAGAGAGAGATAGGCGGGGAAAACAAAATACAATTCGGCAGCAGAAATTTGTTCCTAACTTATCTTGCAACCCTTGCTAGAAGCTAGCATTTCAAATGACTTGTATTTATGATTCAATTTACGTGCAAAATATTAATTGATTGCATCGCAATATTTGCGCATTTCTTGGTGCCATTCATTAACCGACGAAGATCAATAGAGTTAGAACATTGTTTTTGATTCCAAAAACTAGTTGAATTTGAGAAGCACACAAAACATAAAGGTGATTGAATTTCTGTTCGATTGCAATACTCTCAAATTTATTCTAGTAAGAATAAGAAATCCTCGGAAAAAATCTAATTGCAATGTTCGATTGGCTCAGATTTTGACAGTTCATTTGGCTCAAAACATTCTCTCCCTCTGAGTACCCGACCAACCGTTCGTGAAACTTCTTCAAAGTTCTTTATACAGAAATAAAGATTTATGTCGGCAATTCTTTATTTCTTTATTTTAAATTTTCTATGATGTAGATGTAAGCATTTATAAATCTTTATTGATCGATACTTACATATACATCGGTCATATGATAGTAGTCTATAAAGGTGCCATACTAAATTTCTCTAAATTTCGATATGTCAAATGGACTTTAGTATTCTTTACAAATATTCATCAATAAATATTTAAATACTGATATCATCGTAACTTTGAACTTTGACAAAGAACAACAAAGATTGCCATCGATGAACATTTATAATCTCCTTGTTATCGATTTGCATCGCTGGTTAAAGAGAGTTCGAGACACACCAGGTGACAGATGGCAATGTTTATATTATTTATCGACATATTCGGCATTTCAGGGGAAACATGTCAGAAGGCTATAACTTGAAACGTAAACAATGAATTTGAACGTCGATTTCTCTTGAATGACCACACACCCACGGAATATGACTACACCAGCTCATAGAACAAACATTTCTCTGTCAGATGATTTAGTTCGTTTGAGTGGGTGTGTAGTCATTCGTAAGAAACCGACGATCCAAGTCATTGTTTTCGTTTCGAGTTAGAGACTTCTGACATGTTTCCCCTGATTTCATCGGAAGAAGAAATCTGCCGGTAAATGAACGAGAATACCGATGGCCGCGACGCAGCAAATGTTTACCATTGTAGTTCTTCAAGTTTACGTCTATATATTTAATAACCCATGATAGCATGCGTGGTGGGATTCTCGGCATTTGGAAGGAAAATTGATACCTTTTTGACCTCTAAAGGGCGAACACGAAATTATTGCGACACATTCAACAGGGCATAAATTTTTTACCATTGGGTAAAAATCAACCAAATTTTGCACACTTTCTCATTGATGTGTATTGTGTACATGCTGTCAAACTCGAAGTCGTGTTTTTCGATTCAACGAAAATGGAGGTGAACCAACGCGAGTTGAGAGAACAAATTCTTTCCAAACACCTGGAATTTTCTGACCTGTCGCACCGGCAGTTGGGAAAAATGTTGAACATTCACCATTCAACCGTCTCCAGAGTGTTGAAGCGGTTCCAGGAGCGGTTGACGTTGGACCACGTCCAGAATGCAAAGAAGAGAGCTGGACTACATACATACAAGGTACAGAACTTCCCAAACCGCGATGAGCGGCAACAATCGACGGCTAAAACTCGGGCACGGAAGCTCTACGAGAAGATGCTGACAAAATATGGCTGCTGTGTGATGGACGACGAAACGTATATAAAAGCCGATTTTAAGCAAATTCCGAGGTTGGAGTTTTTCACCGGCAAGAGCAAGTTCGATGTAGACGACAAATTTAAGAAGAAGAAAATGTCGAAGTTCGCCTCCAAATATCTCATTTGGCAGGCCATCTGCTCTTGCGGACTGAGGAGTGAGCCTTTCGTGACAAAGGGCACAGTAAATGGCGAGATCTACAAATCTGAGTGCCTCGAGAAGCGCCTTTTGCCGTTCTTGCAGCAGCACGACGAAGCTCCGCTATTTTGGCCAGATTTGGCATCATGCGACTATTCTAAAAGTGTCCTGGAGTGGTATGAGGCCAATTCTGTCCATTTTGTTCCAAAGGACATGAATCCGCCAAACTGTCCGGAGCTGCGCCCGGTGGAGCAGTACTGGACAATAATGAAGCGGGAACTTCGGAAGAGCAAGAAGACAGTCAAAGACGAGAAGGACATGTTAAGAAAATGGAAAAAAAAAACTGAGAAACTGGTACCGGATGACACTGTAAAGACTTTGATGGAGGGCATCAAGCGAAAATGCGTTCAATTTTACACTCAAGGCTCCATCGATTAACTTTTCTTTTGATTTTTGAAGTAAATATATGTATAAAACTACCCTAAAATTTTGGTTTGATTCTAAACATTATAAGAAAATTGGCATGACGTTTTCGGTGTCGCAATAATTTCGTGTTCGCCCTTTAGGATAAACAGCCCTGGGCGAATTGCTTGATGTTCTTGTTCATGTTTTTCCAAACATATCGATCAACAACCAAGCGACGAGTAGAGTGACCTCCAGGATGTGTTTCAGCATTGCCTGGTGATGTTGCAGAGGAATGTACGGTCTTACCTTATTTTGTGAAACGTCCAAGGGTGCAGAAGATGCTTCAATTCGACGTCCACCTGTTGTTATTTGGCAACCGTTTCGTAATCAGCTTCGATTCTGGACAGTGCATCCGCAACAACATTCGGTTCACCAATGACATGACGGATATCGCTGGTGAATTCGTGTAGCCATTTGGGATTTGGACTTGCGGTTAACGCTGTTGTGAGTGTCTTATGGTCGGTGAATATAATCGATTTCCTTCCTTCAAGTAGGTACTGTACTTTCATTTTCATCGCACCCTACCAATCGTTGAGTAATGGCGCACTTAGTAATAGAACTGCGGTCCTTGTGGACGTTTTCGGAAGCTTTTGAAGTCTATTTCATGACAACAACAGTAACAATGACAGTGTATTTTTTCAGTTCATTAAACGGTCTTGTTTTGGAGACAGTCACCATAGAGGAGCCTAGAAAAAATCATGCGTGGTCACCTGGAAGATCCATCGTGGCCTACGTCCAAGTTGGCTAAAGTGTTGAATTATGCTAGAAACACCGTACGCGTGCTTAAACGTACAGGGAAACCTTGACGACGACTCGGAAGCCTCAAAGTTAACGCCGGAGTGGAACTGCCAACCGTTAGCTCCATGGGAAAGTCATGAGGTCCATCAGAAGCAACTTAGGTATGTGCGATCGCAATTGGAGTAAAAAAGTATGATGCCGCCCGTATTACAGTGCAGCGAATTCACTAATACGAATGCTTAAAGGCATACCGCGCCAGTAGGCAACTAAATCGATCACTCAAGCAGAAAACCGTAGCTAGAACCCGTCCTCGAAAGCTGTGTGATGTATGACAACCTGCTGATCAAGTTCGGTGGGTGCATACTTATGGATGATGAACCCTATGTAAAGGCCGACTTCGGACAGCTTCCAGAACCAAAATTTTACAAGGCGAAGGCTCGAGGAGGTGTCTTGGCAGCTCCCATCTGCTTTATGATCTGCTCTGACGATATCGAGTAATTACTAGCGATCTTGTGAGCTTGAGACGACGATCGTGTGCTTGGTCTTAACATGGCTGTTAGAATTCAAAGAGAAAGTCGACGAAGAGAATCTTTCAGCTTGACTGGTTCTTCGTAGTCCTTAACGGATCTCACTTCGATTTCGTCCGGTAGATCGTTGATGGGTTTGTAGTCCGGATGAGGATCGTAGTCATCGGAAACATTGGCAGTGTTTACTTCATCGTCCTCCTGCTCTTCGGCTTCGGAAGTGGCGGCGGCTGCACTGATGCTCTGGTTGAACATTCCACGAGGGTAATGGTTGGTAGAGTTGCCTTCGGAGCTGGAATTGGGTGTTAATCGGTTGTTGCTCCACTGGGGAGATATTTTCTATACCGGATACTGTGGCGGTGGATGTGCTATGTTGGATGTGCTGCGATGGAATCGTCGCACTGTAGCTAACTTGTATGGTACCAACGAGAATGTTAGTCGGAAGGGGATCGGACTTAGTTATTGCCGAATTGACAGGTGGTGTCTTTTCCAATGGGACTGCTGTTACGACTACCAGAACAGAATAGCTGTTTGGAGAGCTTGTTTGATCAGCGATGATCCTTTCGGAGTGGCTACTTGGACTAGTTGCTGAGGAGGAAGAACAACTGCTGAAAGCTGGTTGGAAGTGAAGGTTGTTATTGGTAGTAAGCAGGCACCGACACAGGTTCTTCCATAATATTCAAGCTATTAAAAAGTCTCAGGATACACTTCTAGATAGAGCTGGAATTAGGGCCTAACAGCTTTTGTAAACAATGACTTCTATCGATGATTTCTAGAAATTCAAGGCTCGCCCACGCAAACCAACATCCTCATCGGGTAAGGAAAGTCTTCCACTATCCGATGGTTATGTTGGTCTGCGTGGGCGTACCTTGAGTTCCCAGAATCATCGATAGAAGTCATTGTTTACAAAAGCTGTTTCGCCCTAATTCCAGCTCTATCTAGACTTGGTTATACTTTGTTTACAAACAAAACTGACGTTTAATATGAGACGCATATTCTTAAAGGTAGTAAACGGAGTATGCAGAAAAAAAAATCAATGAACGTCGATTAAATATTGAGGTACATTAAGTTACTCGCTGCAAAAAAGCAACTTTTGGTCAAATGTGAGTTCTCAGACCAATATTTCGAACATTAAGAAATTTCCATGATTCTGGCAATAATAAGATGATTAGAAACTAACACGCATATGCGAAGCGAGGCTTCTATAGCTCTCAATTAACAACTGTGAAAGTGTTCAAAGAACACTACGTTGAGAGCCGACAAAGATGTAAATTCAGATCGAAACGTTAACCTTTGCACCCTTGGTTCCTCTCCTCTTTCCATACAGGACGATCCCTTCCCGGTATCGATCGTGACCAGCGAGGACGACCTGTACCAGCACTGTTCGAAACTGTTCCTCGAGATCAACCGATCCTGGGAACCACTGCTTTCGGCAGCCCTTGGCTATCCTCAGTAAAAGGCAGCACCGTCTATGAATCCCAAGAATGGTGAATCGGTACGTATGAAATGTTCGTTTGTTATTCTATATTTAACGCTTGTGATCCCATCCTTGGTTGTTGCTACAACGAACCAATTGGTAGCCATATGCGCAAACAGTGACAGGTGATAGTTAGGTATTATGAGTTAATTTGGAATTTTTGTTTAGCGCTTGATTAGAATTTCTTTTATGTTTTGGGCTGGTACCAAAGAGGAATAAGCGAATATGAAGTGAGGTTCGATTTCAGGGTCTATAGAAGGTTTTTTTTTTAATTATTTAGTTGATTTATAAAATTTACGAAACAAATAACAATTCCCGCAGAATGGAATCAAATTCGGTGCTCCCATTGGCATTTTCTTAGGTAAACAAAAAAGTTTATTGTTTTGTCGCTGCTAGGTTTACTAAAATCGTATCCCAACTTTATATATAGACAATATACCCGTAAGAAAGTTTACATACAGCTAATATATAATCAAAAGTCGTATATAAAACAATTTGAAGTATTATAGGAACACCTTTCCAAGCAAAACAAAGGAACTACTTATATACACTCACATTTAGCATGAAATGAAAAAAAAAACTGCTTAGCTTTATATATACTCAATGTGCTGTAATAGAAATGGAAAACATAATGGAGCTTTTTACTGTACGCCTATTTATAACTATATTTTTCGGTGGGTTATAACAATTTACATATAAATCCGTGCAACATATTTATCGCGTTGTCACACATACGCATCCATACAACATTTGATCAATCCGACGTACACGCAAAAATTAAACTACACACAGTTTCTCAAATCTAAGCAGTCGCTTGTTTACACTGTATGCAACATTAGTTGAATAACCATCGGATGACTAATCTTCATTAGTTGCTCCGTGATCGAATGATTCAATGATGCTCACACATAGGTACTGCTTTGTTATTTGCAGTAAATGACAGATGTTTTTCGAATATTTTAATCTGCGATAGAGCGAGTTTCCTTTGATATTACTGTGTAGATTTATTCCAGTGTACCTCGGTCTTTCGACATTGCAAAAAAAACTTTGAAGATTCGCATATTGTTTAGGTTTATTTTTGCGTGTACAAACATCGTTTTCTGTTAATTCGCTATTGATAACCAAAACATCAAATTCAAACTACCAGTTCTGGGAAATGTCGAATCGGAGGTTATGGTCATTCAATTTTATGCTATAAATTTGTTATCCTAAAGTCCGATCTGTGAACTCCAATCCTATCAATCCAGATGTTCCCAGAAATGCGGAAAACTTATAACATAACCTCAATATTCAGTAACCAATTGATCTCTCTTTTTACCGTTGAATTCTTTTTTGATACAAAATCTCTGCATCGCACCCCGAACTGCTTGAAATTCGCTACAATTAACGTAATATTTACTCAATTCGATGTGCTTAGCTTGTAAGAGCTTGATATCAGCATAAGCTTGACGAAAACATCACCAAAATACGATTTCTAACATGACAAAAAATCGTCTATAAATACACTGAAACAAAGAACAGCTTCCGAACTCTAATAATCTCAAAGCAAAACAAACAAAACACATCACAAAACGTATGCGCAAAGTTGCAACTGCTTTTGCAGGTCTATCATACACAAACAGAAATGCTCTGAAAATCTCTTTCGAATCTTACGCACGGAACTGTGACCAGCACCAAAATCTCACTGAATAAAAAAAATAACTCCCTTTAAGAACCCGTACTATCTAAGCAAAGAAAAACTCTAGTCAACATCCAATTGAAACGTAAATTCAACCCGTTCAACGCTTTATTCACAATCGGAAAAGTTCGTTACTGACTTTATGCAGGCGGTGTTTTTATAAGTTCTAACCAGTCGAATACGTACGATAATTTTAAGCCCACGGTGAAATCTTGGTGTTAGGACGCGTCCCGTAAGTGATTTCAACTGATGAAGCAACCGAACGGAATATTAACAAAGCTCTTGAACATGTTTTCTATAACCCTAAATATGATAAGCATTGTAGCAAAAGTAAGCTCGGAAAGGTAGGAGGAAAAGTAGAAGAAGATTGATAAGCAAACGAAATAACTAAAACTAGCAAAAGGTACAATCCTCTACGCGTATGAAATGACTGACTGATATTTTTTCTGGAAGGAAGGACCCGTTTGTAAAGTACTTCTGAAGGAAAATGATGGTTTATTAAATTAGTGGTAAAGTGAAAGACACACACACACAAACACAATATACTCTCTCTTTGACTCGTACAACAATAAGCAACAAACAACCCAGTTATTCGTCAAAAATTAGGGATACTGATTGATTGATTAATGGTAAAAACTAATTAACCAAACCAATACAAAAAAAGAACAAGAACAATATCCAGCCATAAACGATCCGATAGTTACCCACTTTCTCAATGATGAAGCATATATCAACAACGTGAAGAAAAAGAAAACAAACTCAATAAAGATATAATGTTGAAGAAATAAAGCAAAGGATGGAGGTGGGTCAAGTTACTTTATCCGAAATTCCTCGTTCGCGTAGGGTTGAGATCTTTTTCAAACTCTTTATTTGTTTCAAATTCCAATTAAATTACATTTCATTTTAACCTAGTTGTCCCAGCTACTACAGTAACTTACCAGCCTTAATTGTTGTGATATATATCTAAGTGTGTTTACATTGTTCCTGCGTTGGCAATTTAGTATTTAAAACAGGTTTTCTTTCGCTGGGCATTGGCATAACCTTGAGGATTGCTTAACTGCAGCCAGGCCCCAGGGCTTGCCTAGATTTTTACATTTTGAAAGATGCACACTAGTGATGCCAACTGTGATGTAGCGGACCAAACGTTTGTTGGAATTTAACTAATAGCCAAAATTAAATAATTGTGTAGTTTAGAATTATGATTTTAACTATGAATTGTATTTCTATGTTTGAGTCTAATGGGTGCAAAAATATATATATTTATTTGGCTCAAAACTTTTGGAATGCAACATCACACAGGCATGCTTGGCATACACAGTTTTGGTCACGAACTGCTCATTTGCTAATAACTTTGCACACAGTTAAAGAAACACAATTCGTAGTCGTAGTAACAAACTGAATTTGCTTTTGCGTTGTAAAAATGAAGTGAGAAATGCTCGCTGCACATCTCGGATTTTAACTGTAAAAATTCATTGGTGTTGATTTAAATGTTAAGATTTACCTACTCTTTGCATACCTATAGTAAACTATGATCCTAATCTATCAATTACTTTAAAAAAAAAACAAATTTCAACAACTGAGTGAAAAGTTATTAACAAATGAGCAGTCGGTGTGTACAACTGTGCATGCCAAGCATGCACACAGGTACTTACTACCTTTGAATTTGGCTTGATCGAGGGCGATTTTTTTTTTGTTTGACTACGGGACTACGTCTGTGATTTCTATATACGGGTACACTTTGTGAAAATCTAAAATAGAACATGTAACAACATTATGAAAGATTTTGAACGTTAATAACTCAGCTGCTCCTGAACCATTTTCAATAATTTTATCACCAATCGATCAAAAATATTTCTACGCATCGATTGTTGATTTTTTAAAAAGAAACTATTGAAAAAGTGGTAAATGTCAAGCATTGTCATATGTACAAATAAAAAGTGATAATTTTAGCACTGTTTTCATGAAATAAACGTTCTTCCCAAACCCAGTCGTCATAATCGAGTACCACTTGGTTGCACATCATTCTGCTTGAATCTGAAAAGATATAAAAGAGCGCTGCTGTCTAGCCTCAACTAATTCGACATGACCAGCGCTCTTCATCAGTGCCACAGCAAGCCCGAGCAGATCCAAGTGCTCGGTAAGCTTATTATTCAGCATGGCGTCTAAACCGCTAACTGTCATCACATGGAACGCTTGCTCTGTAAAAGCAAAAAAGCTCGAGCTTGCTGGCTGCCTATCGAATAGTATCGACGTTGCCCTCCTAACAGAAACCCATCTCAAATCCGGTGACAGCTTTTGGTTGATCACCACATTATGCGGCTTGATCGGATCATCATCAAGAAAGGAATCAAAAGTTCTGCACGCTGCCCCATATCCGCACTTCTATCACCGAGGCCCTTAGTGTGGAGGTGGAATCCCCAACTGGAAACGTTAGGTTCATTGCCGTATACTGCCCTCGTCAGTGTGCTGCCAGTAATGGATTAGGCATCCAATTTAAAAATGACCTGATCAACATCACTCGCACGAGCTCAGGATTCGTCATTGGGGGCGATTTAAATGCCCGCCACGAAGTATGGCGGAACTATCAGCGGAATCAGAACGCACGTCTGCTCTTCGACCACTCGCAGCATGGGCTGTATACAGTGAAATTCCCGGTTGAACCGACATTCATCTCTCCGGTGAGAAACCCTTCCACGCTGGACTTCTTCTTGACGAACTTCGGGCTATCCAAGCCAGTGGCAATCAACCAACCGGTGGTGGCTGAACTGGGCTACAACGTGGCCCCTGCTCAAAGCCCGCGCAAAGATTACCATCATGTCAACTGGGTGCAGTTTGGGCATGTGGTTGACAGAAACATCAATGAAAATCCACCGCTTGGCACTGTAGAGGACATCGACCGGGCTCTGGAAGGACTCCACCAGGCCATATCCGTGGCTGACGAGACGTGTGTTCGACAACTTCCTGTGCAGGGTAAGTTTGTTACCATTGATTCCCAAACCCAATTACTGATTTGCTTGAGAAATGTGCGTAGACGCCCGTTTCAGAGGACTGGTGATCTGGTTTAAAAACATGCAATGGTCGATCTGAACAGGCAGATTGCTATCAGAATGGACGCACTCCAAATGCAAGTTTCGATCGTGTTGTTCAGAATCTGAATGACCGCTCCCGTCCATTCTGGAAGGTAACCAAGGGGCTGAAAACTCATCCCAAACCCGTTCCACTTTTCAGAGTCGGAAATGATGACAATCGACTCATTACCCCACAAGTGAAAGCAAATGCGATTGGCAATCATATTACCAACAATCAATACGAAACTAACGATTTTAAATTGGCTCACTACTTGACTAGCCTATTGGTCCCAAGCAAATTGACTAACGTACCCCATTCTAGCATAAATTCCAGTACTACACTATGTTTGTTTTGATTCGCTATGAAAGTTTGACAGATAAAATGAGGGGTTATTGGTTTTTCCTATGTTTCGAGGGGTGAATCGATTAGCTTGGGACCGAAGAGAGTACCAGAGCTGAGCCAAAAAGTTGAGCACGTTATTTCGGGAGCTTCTAGTCTTAGAGTTACCTCTATGATATTACTGCATCGCATTTGCTTGGCTCAACTATCCAAAGTCCCCTCGAAAATCAGGTGACGCAATGCGTCCCAAATGTAGATTACTCCCCTTGTGCCGTGCCTCCGGAGGATAGAATTATGGTAGAACAGATTTGCTCTCAGCGCTGAAATATTCAAAGAATATGAAGGCCTCCGGTTTTGACGGCGTATTTAACCTAATCATAAAAAGGCTTAGCATGAAAGTCTATGCAGTTTTAACTGCCATCTTCAACAGATGCTTGGAGTTGCACTAGGTACTTTCCAAGCATCTGGAAAGTAACAAAAATCATAAATCCGCAAACCCGGAAAGGATCCAACATTGTCTTCAAGCTACAGACCAATCAGCCTCCTCTCAGCGCTGAGAAAATTGTGCGAGAAACTCATTCTCAATAGATTCCTCAAGTTTGTGGAGGAAAACAATATTCTCCTACCGGAACAGTAGGGGCACTCCACCACTCATCAGCTAGTACGGGTAATGAACAACATCCGAACTAACAAGGCTGTATCCAAGTCCACAACCATGACCTTGCCATAGAGGTAACTCTATGACCAGAAGGTCCCGAAGAAACGTGCTCAACTTTTTGGCTCAGCTCTGCTACTATCTTCGGTCCCAATCTAATCGATGCACCCCTTGAAATATAGGAAAATCCACGAACCCCTCATTTTATCTCTCAAACTTTCATAGCGAATCAAAACAAACATAGTGTAGTCCTAGAATTTCGACTAGAATGGGGTACGTTAATCGATTTGCTTGGGACCAATAGGCTAGTCAAGTAGTGAGCCAATTTAAAATCGTTAGTTTCCACCGGTTGCTAGACGTCGAAAAGGCGTTTGACAATGACTGGCATGACGGATTTATATACAGGCTTTGAAACTTCAATTTACCGTTGCATTTGGTCAAAATTACCCGTAACTACCTTCAGCAAAGGTCGTTCTAGGTATCGTTGAATGATTGTCTTTCAGATAAATTTTCCATCCCAGCAGGCATTCCGCAAGGCAGTTTGTCGGGCCCCCTTTTTTTCTCTGTTCGGGATCTTATACCACTGCGACCAGTAATTTGATCTATTGTAGTATATCCTCTGTCCTTAGTTTAGTCCATGTCGTATTACTCCATCACTATTGAGTAATGATGAAGTATTCAATTTTTTTACAGTTGTCATTCTTGCATTTATCGCAAGGATCCGACTGTAATTGAAAGGTCCCGCTATTGAAACACCCTCCAAAGGCGCGCCCCTCTGTCAGTCAAAATTGGATTCCTTAGCAACAAAATTAAGGAATGACACCGATAATGAGCATGCATCAGAACCCTTGTCTTAACCACTTCAAACTAGAGAACAACGAATAGAAGATTAGGAATCACATAGATGAAGACAACTGGCTAATTTTTCCCTTGTTTCAAGATCATCCTCGGTGGGCAAAGCCGTGTCTTGTCACTATCAACAAGGCATAAAAAGTAACAAGGACTAAGATGTGTTCCTTGAATTACTGAAAAATCCTGTTCCCCTAGTTTGAAGAAGTCAGGACTAGGAATCGGTGGTAGATCTTACATCCCGTAACGTACCACGAAAAGGTGATCTACCCACGTTACGGGGCTGTTGGGCCCCTTGCTCTACAGCTTGTATACTTCCGACATTCCTCCCCTCGGTGACGGTTGCGTGTTCTTCCTGTTCGCAGATGATACCGCGATAGGGTAGAGAACTACTTTGGCCTAATCGCCCATTTTGGGCCTATCGAGCGGAAAACTCCAAATAAATCCATGATTTCAGAGCTAACAAGTCAATTATGCGTTTGGTACTATGCTTTAGTTAATAAGCTACCGAACGAAGGCAATGAGAATGCGTGGTATCAAGGTTTGCACCCATTATTCCCAAAAACAAAAGAAGCGCTCCGACCGAATCATGTTTTATCTTCATCCGATAGGCCGAAGTGAATTCATTGGCTTAGTAGGCCGGAAATGGGGTAGTTAACCCTATCAGTCAAGGGCAGAATGCCTCTTGAAATTACAAACAAACTACAACGATGCCTTGACACCTTTGCTGACTATGCAAAAACTTGGAAAATCAAAATCAATGCCTCCAAAACCCAAACTATCATGTTCCTGCATTGGCAACCACCCAAACTGATACCGGCACCTTCTTGCACAGTAGTCATGGGCCATGGCACATACCTTGGAATGGTATTCGATGAGAAG